TGAGTTCCTGAAACACAACCATCGCCACGAGACCATCCTCTTGACCCACCCTCCCCAAACAACCACGTTCCGCTTCTCAAAGCGTCGCTTCGCGCGTGGAACGGGCTCGGACGGCATCACTTCCGGGCGAGCGGGGAGAACCTGGCAGGGCAAACAAGCTGAACACGGAGCTTTGCTTGCTATATTATAGCGATCCCCAAACAAATAGAGCGGATGGCGCGTTTTGTTCTCAGTCAGGCAAAAAGATAGATAGAAACAGTTTTCAGGCAACATTTTTAAGGAGGGGATCTGAAGCGGACTTCTATCGATGACACGGGGTCTATATAAACGCAAAACGGGCGGCCTGAAGACATTTAAATAATCTTCCATAAACTTAGACTAAGAGGGACGATTTGTTGACCCCGTGTGTGTCGTGTGCGATTCAAGTAACTGTCTATCTTGGTTTCCGGGTTCTATCTGCAGATCATCTTTAACTTACCCCGCGGGAAGTGTAGAAACAACCAAGTGGCCTGCAATCCCTCTACAACCAGTTTTGGTGATCCCCAATCTAGAATCTAGACATCTCTCCCGATGTAATCTCCAAGATCTCTTGTGGCAAAGGCATGCTCTTGGTTGTTGGCAAGCAGGAATTGGTGATGCGGCCTGTCCTACAGTCCCCATCTTTGAAATAGAAAAGGAAGGATGCCCCAACGGCGTCAGCCAGTGTTTAGGAAAGAATTCCAGAGCAGCTGTGTGCCAAGTACTTTGCCATGTCCATCACCAAGGACCTATAATCAACAAGCCTGGCCTCCCCTTCAGTGCCAAGCCAAGCCGGTGCACCTCGCTGCGAACCTCGTTCCTATGAAGCCATAGCCGCATTTCGCCTCTTCGCCTTGTTCACTCGCCCCCGGTGCCCGGTTTTGGCCGCGCGGTGCCTGGGGCCAGCGATGCATCGGCGGCTGCGACCAGCTGCAAGTCGATGGGCTTGTCGTGCCGATGCGACACCTGGGGCGGTGAGGCAGTAGCAGAGCTCCCAACGAGCGGACGCACACGTGATGAGTGTCCGTGTCGCCGGAGAGACGAGCTCAAGCGCAACACCGCGGTGTGTGGCCGGCCACCAACGCCTTGTTGAGGCATCTAGAAGTACTAGCCATAGCTCACAGGTCGTGAGCATTAAAACCATAATAAGGATCTATACAATAATTAGAAGTTAAAACCTGGTACAACAAATATGGACATGGAAAATAGCTGGTTCGTAGAGCCACTGGTCAGACCCCAGGGCCTAGTGATTTCCACAGTCACTTCCATGTCAGTGGGAAGTAAGTGTATCCCTGGGAGTCCGTGGATGGTTTCGTCGTGTCGTTCGTTCGCTTCTATCAGCCCCCCCTCCGGATTTACCAGGACCATATCATTCAACGTCCCAAACCGACCCACAAACCACAAACCGGCCTGTGAACTCCAAAAAGGTCAATGGGTTGCCCACTGCCAGACAGTGAAATCTAGAGTTCCTTCTGCCACCCCACCAAAAAATAAGTCCGAAAGAGACTGTCCTAGAGTGGTCAACAAGGCTCCCAGCCCAAAACAAAAAGACCCGCTGACACCGGGTCACCGTGCTTTCTCTATCACTACGACCTTGATAGAAATGGCATGACATGGCTATCAGGGCCATATTTATCATCTTTAACTACCAGGATACCGACCGGTTGACCTACTGACCGGTGCCTACCCATCCCCCAAACGGTTCGCCTCAACCGTTTGCCTCTCCGACCCTGGCGCCCCATCCGCGCTGGTGACTGACGCGCGGGCCGCTCGCGTCACCGAGGGGCTCGAGGCTCGGCCACACTGCGAATGTGGTTGAAGACTGAACCCTCGAAGATCTTTTGCACAGGACCCCTGAGCTGACGCGTTTTTGGTGAGACGCGTTTTTGGTGTTTCGACGAAGAAAATAGGTCTTCTTTAACATGTTTTAACCTTTTGGCCACCAGGTCTTCTTCAGTGGGGTGATCCCAATTCCAAAAAAAAGGTTCAAGGTTCTCATTTTTTCCTGGCTTGCAATAAATGACAAACGCTGAGTTGGTGGCTAGTTGGTGGCTTCGGTGATGGACGACTGGGTGGACGGTTTCGTGGTTGGTTGTCCTTGTTAAGGGTCACTGTGCCACCTCTGGCTTAAGACGAGTTCCGAGTTCTGTATAACAAACCCACATACTCCAGGCTCCAGGAGTGGGACATATGTCCATACCCAACAGGAAAAACTGCAACGCTCAGAACATGCACAAACAAGATTGACAATTTGAGAGCAAGCCCCGACACCTTGGACCAAACCCAAACACCTTAGACCCAAACAATGTTCATCACATGTTGTTCAACAAATGTTTAAATGCCAACACTGCCAACACTGGTGGATCACTCTGAACGAAGAAGAGTGGCTGCCAATTACGGCTCTCAACGAATGATATCTTTTGACAAGCTAGCTAATTGGGAACACCCTGTAAAGAAGGCAGCAGCTGTTTCAAGCTGGCTGTAACACACAACAGTAACTGGTCAGTCAACATGGACAAACAAAGCTTCTTGCCCAATGATAGCCAAGAGTTTCCACAGCAACTCTTGTGCCATGTTTGGCCTCAGGTTTTTGGATTCTTTCGACATCTGCAGGCCTCAACCTCAGGTATACTCTGACTCACCAACATGGAAGTGGAAAATCACCTTGTTCAGAAAAGAAAGTTCAATCTTCCAAGGGACGATTTCCACTTCCATGATCTTCCAGTGAGTCAGAGTGTACCTTCCACTGTCATGAACTTCGACTGACGCAACAAGAGGTGGCTTGCGACTGACGATCGCGCCAACAGGGCTGGACATTGAGTGTGCCGGCTCCACACGGCTCAACCACGTGGCAACGCTGCCAACGACATCACGATCCAGACATCACGATCCAGACATCACGCTCACGTCCGACCGAACGTCGGTTTGCGCGACGAAGATGCGGGTTCCTTAGACGACACCTGTGCGGCACCCGGGCCGTCCGCAGAAAAACACCGCATCCGCAGCTGCGCGAGCGAAGCGAGCAGCGGAGAACAGACTGCAAGAATCAACATAAGAGTGGGCGAGCATGGGTTGCAAGAGCAACCGGGCAAAGTAGGGAGATCAAATTAACGCATGGCAAAGAGAACAAGTCAGTCAGCAAAAACCCTTCAACAACTCCAGAATCCTCACTTTGGATATCTGCGCAACAATTCTCTCTTTATGTGCAGCCTAGGGAGCATGTTAAGAGTCAACAGTTCCGTTCCCGACATGTCAGCTTGTGTTGCCTCTGGCTCCACACTAACCCTTGATCCTCTGTGCAACCAACTGCGCAGCGAGCGCACAACAATACAGGGAACAGATGCGCCATTGAGTGGGCACTCAACACAATGTACAAAGCTTGGTCCCAGGCCTGGCACTTGGTTACTTGGTCCCAATGCTTCAGGAGCACCGGAACTTGGCAAAGGCCGGGACACCGCAGTTCCTGAACAATTCACCAACTTGAATCTATCGTTCGTGCTTAGCATGGCAAGCGCAAATGGCAAGCCTTGGTGTTGGTGGATCGAAACATGGCTACGGCACCGGCACCGAGCTCTCAGAACCACTGCGTGACATGATCAAACTCCATGTAATGTGTTGGTATGCCCTTCGCTCCCCTGCCGGCCTAAGCCAAAACCTCTTCTATCACCCCCCCCATATCCACAATCACCAGTCATCGTCCGCGAACCCGCCACCAGACCCGCGAAGCTGAAAAAGAACGTATCAAAAAGAACCCAGACCATCCATGTATGGCATGTTTGCATATATTTGCCGATCACTTGGGTTGTTTTGGTGGATCAATGTAGGCATGTATTCCATTCCGCTGCTCGTTCACTCAACTCAAGGTCTCGCATCGTTCACGTGTCCCACATCCGCTGCTATCAAGATCTACCAAGCCACAAGATGGTGGAGCTACTGGGGCCCAGTCCCTCCTCGTTGGTGCTAGTCTTCACCAATCGGATTACCTCACCGAGAAGCACCTGGGACGTTGCCAAGAAGTTTTCAGCAAGCATCTTCTCACCCGTTCACATGCTGTTTCGTTCTGGCATGCACATGTGGGCAACATGCCCCGTGGGGCACACCCCTGGGCCTCTTGGGAAATAACGTGAGTGAGCTTGCAACCTTTCACTCCAAAAAGCGGATGATGATGATGATGATGATGATGATGATGATGGTTGTGTCGGTGCTGGTACTTTGAATAGGACAACCCATGAGCCACGACCCTCCAGTCCTTGCAGTGTTTTCCGTCTGATCCTCGCGTCGGGGTTTCCTCATCCGCGATGCTTAACAAGAAAATCCCATGCCGGGTTCGGTGGGTTCGCGGCCAACTAGTACCCTCTGACTCACTGACACTGACATGGAAGTCAAAAATGCCCTCTTGAAAAACTACTTTCCTACAAACTTAGGGTTTTCCACTTCCATAATTAGTGAGCCGAAGTGCAATTCATGAGAATTGAGAAGAATTCCACATCGTCTCACCGCGGAATCATGGTCCGAATACTATAAAGCGAGAAGGTCAACAAAACTGAAGATAGACTCTCCTGGAACTAACATGGAAGTGGAAAACCCTCTGTTTGTAGAGGAACAGGGTCTTCCAAGGGGCCATGCCATCCACTTCCATGTTACTTCAAGGGAGTGTACTTTCTCATATCTAGCACATCAGCATGAATGAAAGAGTTCAAATGCTGGACCCTCCCCCTTCTAATGGCCAAAGGTAGCACAATTGCCTCATCCCGCATACTTGCCAAGTGTGGAGGAAAGTTCTTTGAAGATAGGGGTGCACGGTATAATTCTAAGATTGCATCAAATATTCCCAAGTATATATATGGAAACAATTGCACACATTCCAAGGACCCGCCTGCTTTGCGACACTGAGCCAGGCCTTTTCATCGCTCACACCGTCCTGGTCTTGGTCGTCCTTGTCTTCAACGACTCGTTTCCGCGGTGTTTGAGAAACAGTGGATCTACAAGGTGAAACTGCGGATAGAGAAACTGCGCATGATCAAGGCATCTTCCTCAGCTGCGGAGCGCGTCCGTGGCGACACCGACAACAACGCTGCGACTCGGGAATTTGGTGGTAATCCATCTATGGTTATCTTCTGTCTCTCACCACAATTGTATCAGGTGTGAATATCCATTTGTCCAACATTCCTTCGCACAGAAACGGAATTTCTTGGCCGGAAACAAACTTACTCTTGCAAAGCTGTCACAAGCCTGATTAACATGGAACCTGAAAACCACTGGTTTGGAGGAAAATTGTCTTCCAACTTCCCAAGGGTCCATGTTCAGGTTCCACGTTCATCTTCCCGAGTGCAAATACTAATATATATTCCAAAGGGTATTGGGAAAATCTGTTCGCACACCCAAGAAGGCTGACAAACTATGAAGGCTGCAGGCCTTTCAAGTATCCATATCCAATGAACCACTTATATATGAAGAAATCCAACATCGCAACACAAACACACATACACACACAAACGCACACATCCTTCTGTCTTTGTCCTTCATCGATCAGGACTGGTACTATCCTACCCCTCAAGTTAGGACTTGAGAGAAATGATGGGGTGAACGATTACGGTAGCTACCATATGTCATGGTCTTAAAGCAAGGCACTACCCTTACTCTCCCTGGAACTAACATGGAAGTGGAAAACCACCTGTTTGTAGTGGAAAATGGTCTTCCAAGGGGCCATTCTCCACTTCCGTGTTAGTTCCAGGGAGTGTAGTTCGATGAATCTGCAGGTGAGTCTCCACAGCTTTTGGCTGTTCTCTCTTTTTTGGTGCCTTCGCTCGCGTAGTCAAGATCCGAAGCGGCAGCACCACAGTGGAGAGCTGGAGGAGGGACAAGAAGCCGTTCACAGGCACAAAGCCATGCTGGGCTGCCAAGGCCGCGAGAGGTTGAACGGCCAGATTGCAAATGCCAGAGATTGTGAATATAAGGCCTCAGTTTGGCAGTTCGTTTGGGAATCATAGAAGGGCTTGTGCCAGGCATTATATGCCATATGTTGCTGGTACATGTGGGGGCATCCTCTCGATTAACCAACCCGTCTATATAGTAAAAACCTTTTCCATCTATGGGCCATGGGCCTTGGCAGTTGGGGATCGTCACTCCACCTCAGTTGCAACGATCATGAGGAATTCAACCCAGCCGCCCCAGATATCTGAAACACATGGTTCTTCTTTGGGTATATGCCATTAGCAGGCCCCAGTGGATGAAGATGGACGGCAAAGACCTTTCCCAAACATATGTATTATATATATATATTAGCGACTATTGACTCTTGCTGGTAATGATGCACACCCTTGCTATTCCGCAATTGGCATAATTTCCACTTCCTAGCAAAACTGTGCTTGTTTGGGTCACAACAGCGTTCTTGCACCGGATCTTGAGAAGCTGTTGGCCCTCCCTGCTGTGGAACGCGGACAAAAACACCCGTAGCATCCCCTAGCCAAGAAGCCAAACACGGTACCAAAGTGAGTGAAGCCAAAACGTTGTCCACCTTACATCTTGGTGCGCTGCAGCACCGCGTTTTGACACGGTCAAGCAAACTCTCCACAACTCTCCTTCCAAACAGTTGCTATGTCTTGGGTCTATCCTAATACCTGTAACAGTGGATGATGATGGTTAGTAAAGGCCTTGTTTACTGACTGTTACAGGTAAGTTCGGACAGACTCTAGCTATGTCCAGGATCCGGTTTCCCGCCGAAACACCAAAAACACGTGTCTTGCGAGCTGTGCACGTTTTGCTTGATGTGAAGCTAGGCCACAAAATGCCGGGTTCAGTGAATAAAACAAAGGCCGACAGAAGGCGAAGACCATGAAAGCGCCAGTGGCAAAAATCTTGCCGTGACCAGCATGAAATGCCCAAAGCAGTAATGCAAAGAGTCCTTAGGGTGAGGTAGCCATGGCCATAATTATAGGAGCTGGACGCCCCCCCAAAAAAACAGTCTTGCTATTCTTGTTGCATGAACCTTTCCTTGGCCCAGAGCATGCACCCAAATGTTCACCGCTGCTTCGTGCTTTTTGGCTGGTAGAGGCGCGTTCCCACATGTGATTATCTGAGGGTTTTATTGGGTGCACTCATATGCACTCCCAGGTCTTTCATGATGTTCAACTTTGGCACGTCCGGGCACATCCCAATGCAACAAATAAATCATGAGGAATTCGATGCTTACCCATGCTTACCCCAGAAATTTGAAATGAACAAATTGCAATTCTTTGGGCATATCCCAGTACCAAGAACATTGGATGATGATGGATAGTAAAGATCCTTCCGAAAAATAGTGATATTCCTGACTGGGGTTTTGTTCATGCCTGACTGGGTCAAGTCCCAGTTGCATGCCAGGCCAAGTCCGCAAACCAGTTGTGGAACATGAAGTGGAACACTTGGTCTCGGCCAAATTGGAGATTGGTCCAACGGGGCGGGAGAGCCAACCGGTGTTCCGAACCCTCTCTTCTGTGCCTCCACACGACTGCAAGATCTAGAGAGTGGTACGATGTGGTACAATGTGGTATGTATATGCTGTATATATATATATATGTGTGTGTGTGTATGTGTGTGAGTATGTCCCAAACACTCCATGTATGCCATATATGAGCCTACATTGGGGTGGTGTTGGGGGTCAATGTAGGCATTTATTGCATACATGGAGTGTCTGGGTACATATATAATATATATATATATATGTGAATCATGGATTGAGAGTAGATGGCACAGACCCCAATGTCGGTGGGTGATTATGGACCCTTATCCATCTGTCTAGCACATGATGGGGTCTGCGCCAAACCTAAACTCTGAAACTACTGTACATGAACAGTTCTCCATGACATCATCATCGACTCAAGGCCTCCGACGCGTCATGGGGAACCTCATGAGACCACCCACACGTCCCCAGCGCCAGGTGATCAACATGGCCGATATCCAACTGATCCGACTGGCCGCTGCATAGGGCAAATGCGACTTCAAAGAGTTTCACAAAGGTAACCAATACTTATAAGGGCCAGGGTCGGGTTTTCTGAAGATACTAAAGAATCCTGAATCCTCAAGTATCAAGGATCTTCAGTTATCTTCTTAAGGCTGGACAAAAAGATCTCCAAGTATCCATAAGCTGCCTGCAAGATCAAAAAACCAATGGTTGGACCCAACTGGTCTATGACGATGCCGATCGCCGGAATGAAAACGATGCCCCCTGCAGGTAGAAGTGCAGCGAACTCTGAGTTCAAGAATGTTGCTTCCTCTTCTGAAGTCGAGTGCATTTGTGGGTACACGGTCGCGATGAAGAAGTTGATGCAAATCATTGTCACAGAAGCCTTGATTCAGCAAGCTCATGGCAGCGAGACAAACCCGATTCGGCAAGCCACTGCGACGGTGAAGAACTTAAGCAACTTGTGCATCCCCAAAGTGGACCAAAGATCTAAAACACAACTCGTCCATTAAGTTTAAAGGTTTATTCGGGAGTACACGGGTACAGTATTTGATGGTATTTGTGTTGTATTTGATGGTATTTAGCCGCTGGGGTTCAAACTGCCCCAAAGGCTGGGGCACACGGGTGTCCGGGGCCGGTAGCGCACCCCCAAGGTGTGGGTCGGTGTCCACAAGGGAGTGCCCACAAGCACCACACCCTTGGACGTTTGACCTTTCGTTCCTTTGATCCGTTTTGGGTTCCTGTGCCATGGCGGGTGATGATGCTGTGACACTGGCAGATAGCATCCTTAATGATCCGTTGAGAGCCGATGTGAAGTCAATCTTTTCTGGCATTGCTGGGTCTGGACCAACGCTGTCGATTTGGCTCTCGCATCCTTGTTGCTGGGGAGGTCGACCTAGTTGTGGGTGACATGGTGACAATTGGGATTTTTCCATTCAAGCCCTCCGTTGGGTTTGACCGTGGGATTTCTCTGGACACGAAGATGACTGTGAAAGTGCCACATTTGGCTGCTCGATCCATCAGCCTATCCACAGGTGTGCATATCCTTTGTGCAGGAACTCCAGCCTGTAGTCAGCCTGAGTTCATTGAGTTTGAGGACGACGCCATCATCACGTTCCGTTCAGAGTTTGACAGGCTCATGCCTTGGAACATGTTCCACAGCTTTTCTGGGGCTTTCTCAGGATGGGCTCAAGCTGCGGATTTCCTGGATCGAACCGAAGCTGCTTTTTGTTTAGGCCAGGAGTTTGAGCTTGACATCGACGAACAAGTGATGCAGCTGTGGAGTGTGAAACACAGCTTGATGCCCCTGAAGTGTCCCATCCATTGGTCCACACCATGGCCCTCACAACGACATGTGGGCTTGCATGGTTCCGTGGCTGATTGGACACTCGCGAACGTGATTCGTGTACAGACAAACTTGTGCCTTTCCATGTCTCCGCCTTGTCAATCGTGGTCCAAAGGTGGCAAACACCTTGGCCTGGCTGACTTGAATGGGTGGTCTTTTGTGGATGCCATCCAGTTGGCAATGGTACTTCAGCCAGACGAAATTGTGGAGCATGACCACTTTCGATTGGTCGAAATGCTCTTTCAAATTCTAGGTTGCAAGAAGGTCTGGATGCAAGTGACCCCGTTGCATAACATGTCACACCATTGTCGAACTCGATGGCTTGCTGCATGGTGCCGATTTGACACAGACGCCCAGTTCGTTGGATTCACATTTCCGTTGAGACACTCTCCTCGTTGCCCGTGGGATGACCCGTCAAATCATCTCAGTGTGCCTCAGGTGTGGCGACCGCAGCTCATTTTAACTGCATCGGAGTGTGCCATTTACAACGACCCCAACTTCTTGCCCCGCTCAGGGAAAACCAAGAATGTGAATGAGTGCTCAGCTGCTAACCGAACTTTGTGGGAAAGGGTTCCTGCCACGGATCAACCCCTTCCGACATTGTGTGCCTCGTACACCACCCAACACCTTCTTTCGAACAGACACATCCAGTTGCGTGGCCTTTTCACCTTCTTGAGGAAGACTGCTGCGGGTTTTGAGTTTTTCGATCCAGGACAGTTTTGCACCCTTTTTGGAACGCAGTCACACATTGTCCTGCCAACTAAGGTTCCCGAGGCTTTCCGAATTGTTGGGAATGCTATCGCTATCCCTCATGCTGTCCTTTCGTTAGGAGTTGTCATGCATGCTGTTGGCCAGATGTCAATTGATCCGCTGCATTTGGTTCGAAAAAGTTGGGTGACCCGATGCCAAGCTCACAACTCCGTCATGTTCGAACACCGAGGATATGTCCATATGATCCGAGCATCAGATGCCCACGAATGGATTTCTGTTGAGTGCAAAATGCATCAGTCTCAGGAGCATGCTTTCTGCTGTGAGGGGAATCTCCAGGCTGTGGACTTTTGCCTATTTGCCACTGCAGAGATGCTAGCCTTTGATTTCATGCTGCAGCATTTTCATGGTCCTCATGAACTCGTCAAGCAAGTCTATTTTCGAGCAATAGATGCCAAATCAAGCATGACCATGCCGGTAGGCCTCCTCGCTATGCAGGAGCAAGATTGGGAGCTTGTTCTTGCTTCTGTGTGTATCGGCCGGTGTAAATTCACCCGTCTTGACTCCACTAAGGTCATCGAGATCTCTCCGACAATGCCATTTGAAGCTGAGCAGATTGTGCACATCAATCACCCACCTGAGTTTGACCTCATTGCACACAGCAAATGGTTTCGCACAGTTTCTGATCTCTGCAAAGATCTTCGGATGGACAGTGGCAATCAGGCTGCTTCTCTGGTGATTTTGCAAGCGGATATTGGATTCCACTTTCAATGTTGGGGTACAATGGATGAGATTCAGAAGACTGCGAGGTGGATTCAATCACAGATTGGAGGCAAGATTTTCCCATCGTGTGGGTTTCACACTGGTGGCAACCACTGCACCCACCTTGTGATTCCATCAGACATGCAAGACAAGCGTGTTGTGTACCTCGCCGATGCAGGGACATTTCATCTGGTGCAGATTGATGTTGCTTGCCCCAACAGCATCATTTTCAAGCATGCCGATCAAATCCTTGAGGCCAGTGACCCAATCACAGTCCATACTTGGCCGATGGACCAGGTGATCTCTTTGACGGCGAAGACTCTGACTCATGCAGGAGGCCACCAGGAGGCCAATGGCCCCCCCCCGAGACTCGCTCAAGGAGCCAATTTCAATCAGCGAGCGGAATTCATGTGCAACACAAATGGGTGGCTAGCCACTGACGAAATGATGGCTATGACTCAGACCATCCAGTGGAGTCAGCGAACTCATCACTTTGCAGCTCCGGTCCTTTGGGACCCATCGAAGCCAGATTTCGAGGATGATGGGACTGAAATCCACATATTCAACAACTCCATTACCGTGATTCCGATCTTGTTGCGAGCTCATTGGGCTGCGTGTGAAGTCCATCGTCACGGAGATAGAGCCGAGGTTGTGATGCTTCAAATGCCGCAAGATTGCATTTCCCGTGCTACGCACATCATCGCACGGTTGCTTGATATAGCTCCACATCGGATTGAAGTGCGTCATGAGCTCACCGGCTATGTGCCACATTTGTGTGGATGGACCTTGCTCCAACGGTGGTTTGAAGACTTACAACTTCTCGATGAAATCACTGATGTTTCTCGGCAGTATCCTCTTCCGGACTCCTATGTGCAGACAATTGAAATGTGCCTACAGTGCTCCATTGAGGACTGGACATCAAATGGGATGCCTCATCGACTTGGGTACTTGGCTGTCCGGCTCCGCAAGAATTTTCTGTGGTTTCTGGCAAGGCGACACAGCATTGGCCAACCAGTTCAGCAACCTGCACTTGTGGTTGGGATTCCAGAGCCTCCACATCGTGCCATCATTCAGATGCCTCCTGCTCAGCAGTCTTTGTCCGAGCGCATTACTGCCAGATTGCAGGTCTACCATCAGCACCCAGGGTGGGCTGTGTCAGATGAGTTGGATTACACACTCGAGACTCTTCGGCTCTATGAACCACACACTCTCTTTTGTCCTCCTGCTGAATGGGATCATCAGAGTGGGCAACTCCGGTTCCTCAACGGGCTTCATCCTGTGTATGAATCGCATCGACATGTCGTTTGGTTCATTGCTTCTCAGAATCATTGGATCACTGTTGAGCTGTGTGTGTATGATGCTTTCAGTCAGCTGATTCTCACAATTCCGCCTGTGTGGCGTCATCTGGTGCATCAGATGATTGGCTTCCTGATCCGCACTGCCAATATTGACCAGAACGGTCTCCAGATCCACTATATGGAACAACGAGATCCCGATGGAATGTGTGGGTTTGCAAACCTATTTCGGCTCTTTCGACGTCTCAATATGGCTGTTGGACCCTTGGGAGATCCGCAGATTCGTATGCTATTGACTCATGATGCTGCAGACGATATCCAGCAGGTACGCAATGAAGCCAATCTCGAGTGGATTCGAGCCAACATTCCTGCCGAATTTTTGGACTTCACCATCAATGTTCGGAATTGGTTTTTGCTCAGAATCCTGGAGGGACGGTTCCCACTGCCCACCGTTGCCGCCGGAACTACACAAACAGATCAGGACATGCCGGATGCCCGCGCCAAACCATCGAAGGCTGAAGTTGCTGCCAAACAGGCATCATCCACTGCAAAAGCTGACCCATGGCTCACGGCAGATCCGTGGACAAAGAAACAAGCACGTCCGGTCCAATCGAAGTGGGAAGATTTGGTGATTCAAGAGCCACTACCATTCATCAACAAGGATGATGTTGCACTGACGCAGACTCACCGTCTTCAGCTTGGTCCTAGCCGTGGGGGAATTGTGTTGAGCACCAAAGCTCACCTTGCTGAAATCTCCAAGATTGTTGGCAGCGCTGATCTTGCCATCCTCATCCCAGCAACCGATGCTGGTGCATTGCCGCACATCACCAAGAGGCTCGAGGGCCCCTTTGAGGTGTCCTTGAATGACACCAAGGCCCAGACGGCATACAAACGACTTGTCCACATGATCGTGCTGTCAGGGTCGGTTCGGTTCCAACTCCCCAAAGCCAAGATCAAGGTGAAAACTCCATCCATTGCAGAGATCGTCCTGGAGATCGATTCGAGGCTTGTCACCAAGGCCGATTTCGACCGTCTGAAAGACTCACCCATCGCCTCGTTCCGACACCTTGTCCAGCAAGTTGCTCCACAGATTGACACAAGTTTTGTCCTGTACGGTTACCGACTGTCCAATCACCCTGGGGCCGCCAAGCAGGAGAGTCAGATGCAGTGTGTGCTCAAAGCCCCGCTGTTATGCAGAAAAGCACTGCTTGAAGCAAGCGGCACAACTGAGTTGTTGGTGCGCGATTACATGGAGAAAGGCAAAAGTACGGATGA